TCTCCGATGCACACAAGTTGCTTGTCTTTATACCATGGCAACCCCTCCATCATTTTTACGATCAAACACTCACAACAGCAACAACAAAAATATATATCTCATCAACAATTTGAACAAATATGATGCAATATCTTGAGTATTTATTGTTGTCATTTTATGTTTCCTAAATTTGTGCGTTCATTTCGATGCTGCTACTGCTGCCGCTCGACTCAAAGTCCACCACAAACAAATCCAAATGTATACCGTCATTAATTTAATGGTAGGCTCGGCTCCCAGTAACTAGTCAATCAAAGCCAATCTAGGCAGCGACAAAGAAGACCATGATGGTGATGATGATGATGATGATGATGAAAACTACAACGACAACTTTTGGAAATTGGAAATAATTTAAGACTCAATCAAAGGCAAAAAACAAAAAATTATTAATTTGTTTTTATGTCCATTGGTTGTTGTTGTTGTTTTGTTTTCATTTATGACTTTATTCGTTTTCAATTAAAACAACTTAATTATTTATTTCGTTTTTTTTTTCTCTCTCGTTGGGTTTGTTGCAACTTTTCCGCTGTTTATTTGTCTGAAAATGTTGCGTTTTTAATTATTAAATGTTCGCCTTAGTTTCACTGGTTGGTTGGTTGGTGTCTTTCGTTAAATGGCAAATATTTCATATTTCTATATTTATCTGACCATTGCAGGCCGTTAACAGCGAATGGTCTGCTTAAGAGCTAGAGTCGTAGCTACAAAATGTGTCGTTTTCAATTTGTTTTGGTTTTGCCAAGGCGTAGTAGCGTTTTGCTGTTCTCAAATTACGGACTTATGTCTATAATTGTTGGCAATTATGGACTAGACATGGAGGACTAATTTCCACTACACAAGGAGAAAAATAATCCGAGAGGGGGGTAATCGAGGTAAGCGGCATAGAGCCGATGGACTAAATTTAACCTTTTTTTAATAGATTAAATAAAATGTTTCTAAAACGGCCCAAACGTTTTATACCCTCCACCTTAGGGTAAAGGAAACACTAGAGCCCATTATAACCAACATATTCCTATTTTTAGACATATTTATGGGAACATGTGCCAAATATAATAAAAATACCGAATATCGGGAAATACAGCTATATGGGGCTATACAGAAACGTGGACCTATAAATACAGTGTTTCGCCACTTGAGCTAGAACCCATTAAGACCAACAAATACCAATTTCTAGACAAATCCGCGAAGAAATGTGGCAAAAACCATTAAAATGCCGAATATCAGGAGGTACCGTTATATGGGAGCTATATCAAAACTTGGACCTATAATTACAATGATTCGCCACACGAAGTGGGACCCGTGAAAAAATGTGTCAAAAATCATCAAAATACGGAATATCGGGATGTATCGTTATATGGGGGTTATACCAAATCGTGGACCCATACATGCAATGTTATACTTATACTTTATGGGGTCTACGACGAATATTTATGGTTGTTACAAACGGAATGCCTTTTCTAAGCCACTCGTCCGACAGCTGTTAAAATTATTCCAGTGACAGCTCATTATATTGTTTGCGAGCGTACAAAAGCATTTTGGTGACAATTTTCCAGAAAAAAGTTATTCGTGATAGAATTCAAGCGTGATAGTGTGATTTCTTTATATTTGGCTGGAAAAACACAAGTGGCTATCGTTAGAGCACTCCAGCATTTAAATGTGAATAAATCTAATAAAAGTGGACGGAATAAAACAGCAACACCAGCAGAAATGGTGCGAAAAAGTAAAGAAGTGACTTGATCGAAACCCGCATCGCAGTGGCCGAAAAATGGCTCGTGAGCTTAACATATCGCAATATTCCATTCGGCAAATATTGAAAAATGAACTCGGTGTAAAGCCATTAAAATTCCAAAAAGTGCAAGAACTGAAACGCAACAGAAAGAAAATAGACTCAAAAGAGCTCAAAAGTTGCTTCGCTTGGCCGAAAGTGTTGAACTGCCGAATTTGGTTTTCTCCGATGAGAAAACGTCGTTGTACAGCAGAATGTAAACAAACAAATTATCGTGTTTACTTGCCAAAGAAGTCAGCTGAAAATGTGCACCTTGGGTTGGCCACCAGAACTCAAGCGCCGGTAATGGTGTGGGCCGTCATAACTGCCGATGGTCGGTCTTCGCTCGTATTAATCGCCCTTGGCATCAGAATAAATGCCGAATATTATCTCGAAAATATTCTAGAGGGTGTATTAAATGCTTGGGCACGCAAACATTTTTGACTCAGCACCTTCGCACTCAGCTCGCGCCACCCAAAAATGGTTACAAAATGAGATTCCTCGCTTCATTTCCAGCGCACATTGTACACTAAAATCTCCGTATAACAATCTGTTGGACTATTGTGTCTTGAGTATTTTGGAAAGCAAGGTTGGCACCAAAAAAAATACCAAAGTGTCGATCACCACAAGCTTGCGCTTCGCCGAGAATGGGCCAAAATATCGCCTAGCAACATTCGGGCAGGGTGTGATGGTTTCAATGGCCGTTTGAAGGCCATCATTCGTGCCAAAGGTGACCAATTCGAACAAATCTAAAATTATTCTAAAATTTGATGCTATTTCCGACATTTTTTGCTTTTATTCAATAAACTTTAAAAAAAAATGTAAACATTTTGGAGTTTGACTTTTTTGCATTTTTTTTATCTTATCCTGCATATGTGTCAGCACTCTTTGTAACTAGATATTTGGCGATGTTTGTCTTTGTGAAAATATTTTTCAAGAGTTTAATAGGGCTTCCCTGATTTTAGACTTTTTATTTCATTTTTAATATATGTTTATAGATATTTTTATTATATTTATTTCTTTATTATTATTTTTTTTTTTTTTTGAAAAAAATTAGAGATTAATTTGAGTTTTTCAAATTTTTTATTTTTTCCGTGTACTCAATCTTTTTTCACATTTGACCCATGACGATTAAACATTTGCATGTCAGAGGTGTGTCACCGATGTGTCCGTCAATATTTACCACATGCAATGTTGAAAACTGATAAAAATCATAAACAATTAGTGAAATTCTCCGGACATTGCTATATGTTCATAAAAATGAAAAATGATATGTAATAACAGGTTCCACGCTTTCAGAATTGGTGTCGAATTACAAAAAATAAATTTTGATTTTAATTAAAATGTGTACCAATGAAATAAAAGCAACAAATTGAATTGAAGATTTTGAAAAAAAAAAATCCGAGAATATATTCCCTTAAAACGTGGTTTTTATGTAGATTTTTCAGACGTGCTTTTATAGAACTAATTTTCTAAGAACCACAAGGACGTGGAATTTAAATAAAATCAAAATACAAAATTGAGATTCCAACATTTTTCGAAGTTCTTCCAAAACCATCCAACGTATAATTTTTAAGTTTTTTCCCATAGACCATGAAAATAAAATTCCCCATTCAAATCTTTTGTTAAAAACAACTATGAAACATAATTCAAGAAGAAACTTTCTTCAAACGCCATTGAAATTTTAAAAGCCTCAAGTACTATTGAATCCTTCAATTACATATATTTTTTTTTAATTTTTTGTTTACTGGGAGACTTTTGCAAAGTTCTTTTAATACCATTTTAATACTATTTGAACCCTAAAAAAAATATATTTAAAAACAAGTAAAAAAAAAATAAGTTCGGCCGGGCCAAACTTTTAATACCCTCCACCTTAGGGTAAAGGAAACATTAGACACAATGTGTCAAAACCATTAAAATTTTATGCTGATTATGAATATATATACTTTATGGGGTCTACGGCGAATATTTAAGGATGTCACAAACGGAATGATAAAGTTAATAAACCCTCCTTTCCAAGGTGGAGGGTATAAAAAACAAGGCTACAGTCGTGCGGGGCCGACCATGTAATACCCTACAACATTACAATATGTTTGAATCCCCTTATGTCCGAGTCCATTTTGGAAGATTTCGCATTTGAAATTTTGTCACGGAGCACTGCCCAGGTATTACCGCTAGCTTTTTGACCAGGCACATTTGATCAATATTTACGCACTCCACCGTGCTGTTAGTTGATTTGGTCCATTTTACAGCTACATATACCAATGGTTATCCAAAATGCTAGAATTCTTTCCTGTTCTTAACTCTCTTCAATTTTGTGAGCAGGAAAATTTTTTTGTTTTTGGTTCATTTTAACCCCTAAATATTTTGCGATCATCTCCAAAAGCATCCCTAAGCTCTAGCCCCATGTCGATTGGTCTATAATTGCGACCTGCAGAGCAACTTCAAAATCAGGATTTTTTTCAGTTTTTGGTCCATTTTAACCCCTAAATATTATGCAATCATCTCCAAAAGAAATAGGGTTCTATTCTGACCCTAGCCCCACCTCCATTCTAAAATTCGTGAAGATCGGACCATAATTGCGATTACATACTAATATGGACAGACGGACAGACGGACGGACGGACATACCTAGCTAGATCGACTCAGTTCGGCGAGATAGGAAGATCCATATATACTTTCCTATATGGGAAACCAATATTTCGAGGTGTTACATAATTTTTGGCCCAATCAAACTTATAATACCCCCAATACATAGTGTTGTAGGATATAAACATTTCATTATTCCATTAGTTTCATTTTCCATTATTACGTTGAACATCTTTATAAATTCCGTACTGCGCATTTCAGTTTATTAAATTGCAATAAATTTCAACTAAATTGTATCCATCATATCTAGTCAGGGCACGTGATCTTCCTTCGTGATAGTTGATGCGATGAGCTATCGCTCATCATGCAGCTAGTATTTAATTAATGAATAGTTCATTAAGAAAGTGAACATTTTAAAAAATTTATCAACGATTAAAGTCTTAACACTCCCACCAATCTAAATATTCTGTAACGATAATCAGCTATTATTTGCAATCAAGCATATTAATGTGAATCACCTCTGAGGTAATGTAGTTGGGTGGGGTTTTGTGTTTATTTAATGGTTATAATAAATTATTCTTTAAATTTTTTCACAGCTACGTTTTTTGTTTCTTACCTTCCTGCACAAGTTTTTTGCATACGGGCCTTGCGTTCACCGCCTTAAATCCCACATTATAGGTGCAATTGACATAACTCCAGTAACGCTGCTGGTCCGTAATGCCATTGGGATCGAAGGGATCGTTGCAGAATTCTCCATTGGAGACATCTGTTGAACAGCGCCAGCATTTTAAAATGCTTTGAGCTGAAATGAAAAAAAACGAAACATTTTAATATTATTTTTAAATAAATGTATATTGAGATTTTTTTTGTAATCGAGTATATCAATAGAAGGTGAGATGAAAAAAACTGCAACCAAATTCAGACTGCTGTCATTTCTAAGCCACTCGCCCGACAGCTGTTAAAATTATTCCAGTGACAACTTATTATATTGTTAACAAGCGTACGAAAGCATTCTGGTGAGAATTTTCCAAAAAAAAAAGTTATTCGTGATGGAATTCAAGCGTGATAGTGTGATTTCTCTACATTGGCTAGAAAACCACAAGTGGCTATCGTTAGATTACTCCAGCATTTAAATGTGAATAAATCTTTTGTGTCTCGTACCATCGCTCGTTACCGCGATACTGGTATTGTAGCACCACGTCAAGGAAGTGGATAGAAGAAAACTACACCACCAGCAGAAATGCTTCGAAAAGTAAAGAAGCGTCTTGATCGAAACCAGCGTCGCAGTGGCCGAAAAATGGCTCGTGAAATGGTATCACAATATTCCATTCGGCAAATATTGAAAAATGAACTCGGGGTAAAGCCATTGAAATTCCAAAAAGTGCAAGAACTTACACCGCAACAGAAAGAAAATAGACTCCAAAAAGCTAAAGAGTTGCTTCGCTTGGTCGAAAGTGGTGAACTGCCGAATTTGGTTTTCTCTGATAAGAAAACATTCGTCGTCCAGCAGTTTGTAAACAAACAAATCGTGATCGTGTTTACCTCCCAAAGAGGTCAGCTGGAAATGTGCACCTTCGGATGGCCACCAGAACTGGTGAGGGCTGACAAACAGCCGATGGTCGCTCTCCGCTCGTATTAATCGACAGTGGTATAAGAATAAATGCCGAATATTATCGCGAAAATATTCTAGAGTGGGTATAAAAGCATTGGGCACGCAACCATTTTGGCTTCAGATCTTGGAAATTTAAACAGGACTTAGCACCATCGCACTCAGCTCGCGCCACCCAAGAATGGTTACAAAATGAGGTTCCTCGCTTCATTTCCAGCGCACAATGGCCACCAAAATCTCCGGATACCAATCCGTTGGACTATTGTGTCTGGAGTATTTTCGAAAGCAAGGTTGGCACTAACAATTACCAAAGTGTCGATCAGCTCAACCAAGTGCTTCGCCAGGATTGGACCAAAATACCGCAGAGCAACATTCGGGCAGCGTGTGACGGTTTCATTGGCCGTTTGAAGGCCATAATTCGTGGCAAATCTGACCAATTCGAACAAATCTAAACTTATTCTAAAATTTGATGCTATTTTCGACATATTTTGCAGTTTTTTTATCTTCTTCTTTTTTATATTCTCTTAGATATCCTTCAATAGGCAAGTCACCGTCAATGTTTCGAAGAATTTTATTAATATAATAAATCAATAATTTCTCAAAACAGGATGATCGGGAGTGATAACTAAGTGATAGTTCAATTTTTAGTCCAGAGATGTAAGACTTTGAAATATTAATCCTAGACCCATATGATTTGATTACGCTATGTGTGCCCGTCCATGCTAATTTGTAATCACGAAGCAGGTCGCAGTTACAGTCCGATCCTCACGAAATTTTGCCTAAAGTTAGGTTCAGGAAAGAAGATCAAAGAAGATTTTAAAATTATTTTTTTATCCCAATATCGCAATATCTTGAGGGATTCGTTCATTCCATTCCAAAGTGTTTCAGACCTACAGACACTTGGCCATATCAAAAGTGAATATGGAATATATCTGTAAGCTCCTTCTAATTTCTCCCTCAAAAAATTATCTATAGAAATGAGATTTGTGTTGGATTTTCTTCACATCTCAATATTTTTTTCCTGCACTACAAATTTTTTTTAATAATTTTGCCTTATGGTGGACCTACCCCCTAAATTATCTAATTATTTGAGAATGTGACAAAATCCAGATAAATTACTCATTTCATGTTCTATTGTTTTTTTATAAAACATTTTTTCTCACACTTACTTTTTTTCAAAACTTATCTACTCATCAACCATAACAACAATTCTGTCATGTCAGAATTAAAATTAATAATAATAGGAAGAGTGGCATGTGTGTGACTTAATAAAATTGCAATTACTTCAAAACACAATTCCCGACTAAATTTCATTTAATGATCACTGCATTTAAACGACCTCCCACACTCGTCGCCAGATCACATCACATTCCGTGTCATCGTTAAGATCGTTTGAAATAAAGAAAACAAATTAACAAAATACTGCGCATTTTGTGTTTTGTGCTGATTTCTGTTTTAACACCATTCCCAGGAAGGGGGAGATGCGAGATGGAAATTATGACTTAGACACAAGTATTACCTCATTTTTTTCTTTTGAAAATTTCCATTTATTTAAATGATACGCTTCATTCTTTACGAAAATCATGACAGTAGACTATTGCATTATAATGCAAGTGATGTTCCGACTGATACTTGTATCAGTGTCATGTTTGACATTGTTTCGCCAGTTATTTTGTTAGAACCATGTAATTTGTGTGAGTGAATCATTTTTTTTTTTTTTTTTGGCTTACAAAGTAGCAATTTATAGGAAACATTTAGGCTAACCGCTAGGACTCTTTATAGAAGACCAATATGTATAATTAAAACCCCAAAAAGTTTTCTTATAAAATACCTAAACGTTTATTTGAAGAGGATCTATAGGACTTTCCACACAAGTTTTGAAGGTCTTCTGATAGTTGGTCCAAAGGTCGGCTTTTAAAAACCACTTCTCCTTTTAAAGACCAAAAAGTAAAGTAAAATATCAAAAAGAGGACACACAGAAGGTTTTAATGTCGAAGTCTAAAGACTTTGTTTTCTTTTAGAGGACTTAAGATATTTTAAAAAAAGTCAAAAAATTCTGCTAATGCACCTTTCAATAAGTAAAAACAAAATGACTTCCTAAGGAAGACCAGTATAACTTTTTATGAAACACAATGAATAAGGAGATATCCTTTTAAGGGACTCCTTCATTCCAGACTGGGACAATCACGATCGACATAAGTTTAGACAGAAATGGGTAAAATTTTGACCATTTTTGGGATATCCAAGAAAAATTCAATCTTCTGTCTGTATTTTATGTTTTCGTCGCTAAATTGCAGAGAAATTTCGTTAATAACCGGAAGGATGGACATTTCAATTTTAACGATTTTTGCCGGTAACTCAAAAAAATGTTAGGGTATACTTCTACATTCTCAAAACCAATAGCCAGTTCAGGTTATAGAAAATTCCAAGTGAATTTGAGAGTTATCGTTTTATATATCTAAACTCTAAATTGTTTCGGATTCTTTGCACGAAAATTAGTTGGCCTAAACTTTAGTTGGTTCACCGAGACACATTTTGGCCATATCAAGTGGTCCATCTACTAAATTGAGAATATAAAAAAACAACTGACGTCATCATTTTAACTTTAGAGCAGAGAGGGCAGGTTTTTATACCCTACAACACTATGTGTTTGGGGTATTATAAGTTTGATTGGGCCAAAAATTTTGTAACACCTCGAAATATTGGTTTCCCAAATAGGAAAGTATATATGGATCTTCCTATCTCGACGAGCTAAGTCGATCTAGCTATGTTTGTCCGTCCGTCCATCTGTCCGTCTGCCTATGTTAATTTGTAATCACACTACAGATCCCAATTGTGGCCCGATCCTCAAGAAATTGAAAATGGAGGTGGGATTGTTTTTGGAGATAATCGCAAAATATTTAGGGGTTGAAATTTACCAAAAACATAAAATTTTCTGATCTTGCAGTTGCTCTATAGCCCACAATTATGAAAAAGGATAATATCTAAGAAACTCGAGTAAAAAATATGTCAATAAAAAGTGTTTATTTTTTACATTGTTTTAATGTTTGTCATAATTTTATCGAATGAGATTTTTTCAATTTGACTTCCAATTTAGAATTGTACATTTTGAGGGTATTATGTACAGGTGGTATTATGAGTTGAGGGTATTATGTACAGGTCGCAATTATCGGGCGATTCTCATGGAAGTTTGCATGGGGTTAGGGTCAGAAATAAAGCGTTCAAATGGACCCAAATTTTCCTCATATTGCAGTCGCTCTACAGGTCACAATTAAAAATCAATCGACTCGGAATTTTGAATGAGAAGAGAGTTAAGTACAGGGAAGAATGCTAGCATTTTGAATGACTATTGGATTATACTTAATTATAAAATGGATCACAAATTTCGTTTGAAATTGATTTGAATACCTAACAATACGACGGGGTAAATATTCTGGTCAAAAAGCTAAGGGTAGGGCTCTATGACATCATACCAAAAAACGAAATCTTCCAAAATGGATTTGGACATAAGGGGTCTTCCAACATATTATAGTGTTGTAGGATATCACATGGTCGGTCCCCCATGACCAAAGCCTTTGCTTCTATGAAGATCTTCATAGAATCAAATTCTTAATCGATTTATGCATGTCCATCCCTCTGTCAGTCCGTTCTTCTCTCCCTGTATTTTTTTGAAACAAAGTACAGGTCGCATTTATTGCCCGATCGAAATGAAATTTTGCACAAATCTTTGTTTGGTCCAAGGTCGAACCCTATTGAAATTGGTGATAATCCGTCAAAATTTAGATATAGCTCCCATGTATATATTTGTACGATTTTGTTTCTTTTGTACACCAAATTTAGCCTCAAAATAAGTATGTCAAATTTTATGAAAACCGGTTCAGATATTGCTCCCATATATATTGTTCAACCGATTTGTTATATTTGTCCGCCACAGCACAGTAATATTCACTAAGTAACAACGATATTCGAGGAAATATATCAAATTCAGCAAAGGAATGTCTTTTCATAATTAAGTAGAAATCTACTCAGAGAAGGATATATATACATATATATATATATATATATATATATATATATATATCTCCCATCTATTAGTTCTTCTCGTCTTTAAACTATAACTGCTTTAAAGGCATATACGCATTCAAAAACGATCATGTTTGGAATATTTGTCCGTCCGTCTGTCCATGTTAATT